TTGGAGATTGAAGTGTTCCGTATGGTGATTGAGTAGTAGTTTTCGGTTTGCACGAGCGATTGCGCAATGCCGGATCGGGTGTGGAGCTCCAATGATAATGGGCAGGGTTTTTGAAACGTTCAGCGTGGTTACAAGCGTAATTTGCCGGATTTAGATAGTATCAGGATGCATGCATTGAGGGATAATCTTAGCGAAGTTGGAAATAAGCGGAGACATTTGACTTGAGACAATAATCTTTCCAAGGAAAAACAAGCACGTCTTAGAAACCATCCCCGTTCAATTGAGAGGAAGCGTTCTCCAAATGGATCCTTGAGTGCACGACGAGCTGTGTTTGACGAGGGATTTGTATTTCAGTGCGAATTAAAGCTATGGGAGAAAATGGTGCATAGAATCAATATTTAGATCTAGGCTACGAATGCTGGTGAAGGCACAGATAAAGTGATCAAATTTCCGCGAGTGAATGCGCATAGAATGAGAGCGCTTACTCACTTGATCTGCGTTGTTCATGTTCGATGAGAGAGAAAACCAACAACCCAACCCTGATAACTGGAGTGGTGAACCACGTAAGGCCTCGACAATTTGAGCGTGGTAGTAAATCGGGCGACAGCAGGGCTACCAAGCGGAGTCTGTTGATCTACATGCACGGGGATCTGGAACTCGGCCTATTTGGTCGGTGTATAACTGCTGTGAACACTGATTGGGGAGAAGGGTTAAATGGTTACTTATGATCAGTATAGTAATTGGTTCCAAGAATCTGGGATGAATGGATATGGAATGGTATTAAGCAGGGCGTTCATAAAGCCGCCGACCACCAAAGTGGTGTGGCTATTGTCGGGCTTAAAACAAGGACTGTATGTTCCGAAGTGGGCTGTTGACAGCGATTTGATCCGCTTGCCCACTACCAGTACTCGACAACACAAACATCAGTATTGCTTATGACTGAAGTATCCCAAGCCTGATGAACTTTTCACAATTAACTACGGAACGTCAAGATAGAGAACCAGAAAGGACAGAAAGCAAGATTCCAGAGCAAGTATCAATTTAATAATGCAAGTGGGTGGAACCCGAACTGATAAGGCGTCTGAGAGAGGAATTTCTGCTTTAGATAAATTAAAATAAACCGATTTTAGAAACTTGCAATGCATCAGCCGAACTAAAAATAGACAAGGTCTCATTCATGACCATTTTTTCGCTGATTTTACAGCAGAGAGCTTTTTAGATCGACGTAGTCGAAAAGACCTGTATGGGGTAAAAATGGAGGTATATCGACTATTGATTGAAGTGCAGATGATGCTAAACTATCGCACGATTGGTTTTAGGACGTGTTTGTGTGCATAATACTTGATGTGATTCCCATTTCCTCTGACAACTAACCCGTGAGATTCTATTCCAAAGATTATACAGCGCAACCGGAAGTCTATAAGCGTTCATTGTACGATAATTCGTAATTTCAACCTACTCTTGTTCGAAGGGTTACCCACCTAACGAAAGACTACATTGAAAGTGAACGTCGGCAAGGTGCAATAACGGCGGCGATCAGAACTGGGCTTCCTTACGGCAACCCTCCCAGCGGCCTGGATCAATACAGAACGTGGCGACCAAAGGTTGATAGCTTACAATGAAAACTCATGAAGAGCCATTATGTGTGTAACAGAAAAGATCTTTCGCGTTTGATTAAAAAGGAGTAAAAACAAATAATATTTGCAGCAAACAGGCACTTCATTTAACAAATAATTAGTTAAAAATGGAACGGAATGTTTATACAGATGCGAAATATTGTTCCACGGACGACAAAAATTTCATTACTTGTGGTACATTTTCTTCTTCCAATTTTTCGAACTGTTCCATCAAGCTCTGCAGCCTATAACACAATTAACGCAAAGTGCAGTACTTACTTCTCGCAGTCTCTGGACTCAGCCACTTGCTGACACAGCTCGGTAAATGACATCGTTTGCATCTGAAGCACGGTTATACACCAGCAAATGATCTCACTTCTTTTGCTCTCTCGATCACACTTCCGGGTAGACCTGCCTGTCGTGCGACTTCGATAGCATGACTCTTTCTTGTAACTCCCTTCATAGTTTCATACAGATATGTGAGTTTCCCCTCATGAGTAGTAGTTTTCATGGTCTAAATGAAACAAACTGATTCAAGTGAGGCGATTTTGGAGATCTTAACAAATATATTCTTCATTTTAGTAATAAATGATGAGTTTGCTTCACATGGGGAATACATATTTCCCAAATTTGTTGTGAATAATTCCATGGTCTCAATGAATTGTTGTTGCGAGTAGAATGCGCGTTGTGCGTCGTTTTTGTTCATTTCAGTATAAAGGCCAATATATATGGGGGGGGGGGGGGGNTAAACGAAGTTTGGAGGCATATTTATGGAGTGTGGGACGGTTACCATTTTGGCCGTAGTACAGTTTAAACCGTAGAGTCGCGCAAATAACAACTGAGAATTCGTATGGCGTATTCACACATGAGCTTACTGTTGTATATATGGGGAAGGTGGGTTAAATTGGAAGGATTTACTTAATACGTCTACTGGGATTCTATCTTATTTGGCACTCTTCTGGATTTTCAAATTATTACTAGCTGTGACGTCCAGGTTGCTGAGTCCTTTGTGATGAAAACTGTGACAATCTAGTTAGATTAAGGCTACGCATCCGGGGTATCAGAATACAGTACAATCTGAATGTTGTGTTTACCCAGGCATTCATCCATGTATTTTGATGTCCACGGCGAAGTAATAGTACAACATTGTTCAACTCAACAAACGTATTGGGAATTACTGCCCATCGGGCACAGTTCGAGTGAAGTGAAATACTTTTTGAAACACCTGCTGAAAGGCTGTTTTCAACTAGGAAATTAGTTATGTATTGTTACTTCAAATGAAAACGGAAAGGGCACTAAAGATGTCTGAAACTGCTATCCACGGGCTGATTTAAGAGCATTTGTGGGAAGAAAGGGTCTGCGCAATGATTACGCCAAACATAGGGGTATAAGCCGGATCCCAATAGCGTCAAAGCTGTTAGCGTCCGTCATTCTTCGTAGATTGTACAAAACGCGCGGGGAACATATCCGTGAGGACCAGGCTGGGTTTCGTGCCGGTCGTAGCTACATCGATCACACCTTCACCCGCCGACAGTTGCTTGAGCACCGTCATGCTTACCGTAGATCAACGATCATTGTGTTCTTAGGCGTTCGCGCGGCCTAGATTCTGTCAAAAGGATCGCACTATGAAGCTGTTTGTTGAGAAATGGGGTACGTGAGAAGTATGTGTCGATCCTCACAGAGTTGTATCGTCATACCTCAGGTTGGGTTAGGGCCTACGGCCCTTCGCCGTCTCCAGTGGAGTTCGACAAGGCTGCCTTATATCCCTCTACCTTTTCAACTTCGCCATAGGGGATGTTCTGCAGGACGCTTTGTCCGGTCTAGCAGACGGGGGAGTCGAACTCCTCCAAGCGAACAGAGTTCTTGACTTAGAATATACCGACGACATCGCCTTGTTGGGTGACAATGAACAGGCAGTCCAACAAGCTTTACACCACTTGGCGATAAAGGTATCCAGATATGGTATGTACTTTGCACCAAAGTTCAAAGTGCTTGTGCAAGACTGGCAGGAGCCTGTGCTTGCGTTTACTATTTATGACATGAAAATGGTCGAGAGCTTTAAGTACCTCGGGAACTTAATCACAGCTGGAGGTGGGGTTAGGAGAGAAATCACATCACGAATAGC